GGACGGAACAGCTCGGCTTTGATAGGAGAAGAGGATGTGTGAAGATGCTACCCGTGGTTTTTTTTTTTTACTTCAAGCTAGGAAAGGGGTAATGGTAGGGACGAAAACGCAAAAATGTTGCAGGAACTGTTCGTGTAAACTTTTGAAGATGAGGCAGTGTACGTTGCGGGTCTGTAGTAAGGCACGGATGGAAATCTAGGCGGCGAAACTTCTTGGTAGGTCCAATGCATGCTCGCGATTGACTGCGTCGTTTCATTGCGTCGTTTCAGGTGCACAAGTTACGTCAATGGACGGAATCGGAAACGGGTCTCGGTATAACTGCTGCTCCCCAACTGCCTCCGCTTCCAAAGACAGACCGCCCTCTACATGCTCCACCACCTCCCCCTCCCCCCTTGACAGATCCTCCTCCACTTCCTATTGCAGAGTCCCTTCTCTACATTCCACTACCCCCTCCACTTTCCATGACAGATCCTCCTCTCCATGCTCCACCATCCTCTCCCCCACCGCCTCCACTCCCAAAAACAGACCCTCCTCTCCATGCTCCACCGCCCTCTCCCCCACCGCCTCCACTCCCAAAAACAGGCCCTCCTCCGCATACTCCCCCGCCCTCTCCTTCTCTGCCTTCGCTCCTCAAGACGGACCCTCCTCAGCATCCAACATCCTCTCCCCCAATCCTCCCCCCTCCAAAGACAGCTGGAACGCCTCCGCTACTTCCACTTCCAACGATAGACACTCGGCATCCTCAACCACCCTCTTCGCCCATCCTTTTGAATTACCGAGAGAGACCCCTCTCCGCATCAACCACCCTCTCCAGCAGTTCACAAGAGTCCTCTGGGTCCTCCACCACCCCTTCTTCCGCCTCCTCCAAATTCCACGATTGCTCTTCCTCTCCATCCTCGACCACTCCCTCCTCGGCTGTCCACGACATATCCCCATCTGGATCTTCAACCACTCCCTCCTCCTCCTCCACCTTCAGTTCCCAAAACAGGTCTTCCAGCTCGTCCTATTACACATCCGCTTCCACTTCTCAAAGCGGGTCCTCGGGCTCTCGAGGCAGATCCCCTGCTTCTCAAGGCACATCCCCTGCTTCTCAAGGCACATCCCCTGCTTCTCAAGGCACATCCCCTGCTTCTCAAGGCACATCCCCTGCTTCTCAAGGCACATCCCCGGCTTCCCAAGGCACAACACCCTCCAGATCTTCCACCAGCAGCTCGTCAACATCAAGCACTCCCTCCACGTCTTCATCCGCCTCCTTCTCCAACTCCCCCGTGGGCTGGAAGCTGGAAGCCACTGGGCGCTCGTGCTGGAACCTGGCGATTCTCCGCAGGATGCGGCACCATTTCGGATTCCACCGAGAGGAGAAGAAAGAGGCTGCTGCCGTTCAGTCGGAGGAGACTTCGGGCCAAGAGAGACATCATTGATCGGCGTTCGATGCATGCCTGGTGTTGCTCGATGTCGGCTGGCCCAAGGTTCATCACAGATGTTAGCAAAATCAGCAGTGATAATTAGGGAAGTTCCCACGAAAAAGTTCTATTTCCGTTCTCCCTTGTCTTACCCTTTTGGTTGAACTGTGGCAGCTTCTTACGATGCATTAATGAATTAATTCATCTGCTTTTACTCAACTGCACAGTACATTCCCATTACTTCATATCTCGAGATCTGCCAACGTCCGTCCGGGTTTATTTGTGTCTATAGTCAAAGTTATGTTCCTATGAATTTGCATTCGTTGTTTATTTCCTCCGTTCTACCTTGCCGCACTTGATTGTTGGCTCAATTGCAAGTTGCTTTCGCTGTTCCGTGAATCGATGCTAAGTGAAGTGTTATTCTTGCACGAGTTCAAGTATTAAAAAGGCTATCGTATCAGTTATGAAACCCGCCTTCAATGTAGAAAAGTTCAGCTCCAAGTACTGCGTTAATTTCATTATCGCATTAACAAGGAAGCTCCACGGCAGAAGGATTTCAAGCTTTTAGCATCTGGTTTTTCTTTGAAAAAAATTTCCACAATTCCATGCAGGAACTGGAACTCTTGGAACATTGGCTAAAAACCTTGGAACCCGGGCCACACGATCATCGAAACCAAGCGATCAATGAAGATAAGCTCCTTCGAGTCCAGTCGAAGTACAGAAATACCAGGCTTCACATCGCACCGGGAATCATTAAGGGTTCGAGGAGATCATATTCTCGTTTCGTGACCCGCCGTGACATCCTCCCATAAGAGAAGGGAATCTCATAATGGACTTGGGGCGGAAATATTGGATGTCGGAAGGCGGATGGCCCCGCTTCTCAATTTGGGTAATGAAGGTCGTGCGGGGAGGACGAGCATCTTGGCTGTAATGTCCCCGGCACGACGTCATTCAATCGATTCTAACGGGATCTGCCGCGTCTCAAGATATCGGCTTTTGGGCAAGGCGAGGGCTTCCACACTCGTTTCTTTACCGTGACCCTAGGAGTTGCTTGCAAGACGACCGACTTTCCGCTTTGACCCTTACTTCATGAATGACACAAAAAAAAAGTTGAATATACAGGGTGATTATAAAAAAACTCCCTTGTTCAACACATAAGATCTCGTAAACGGTTAGACACAGGATTGTGAAAATTAATACGAATGCTACAGGGGCCACTGGGAAGACGATGTAGTGCGTCGTCGACAAAACCGAGCTAATGGCCCACTTGAGAAAATCCGTTGCGTTCAACGCGTGCTTCTCCATTATCCACTATGAATCGCCTTTGAGGGATGACAGACATGACAGCAGCACATCTTCAAGATCCGGAATCGTGCGTGGGGTCCCTCGGTACACGCAAGACTTCAGTGGCCCCCACAATCAAGTCTGATGGTGTAAGATCCGGGGAACAAGTCAACGTCATTCCCACCGTGCTGCAATGAAATATGCTAGGTACCAGTCTTCATCCAGGGTGGAATTACTCCTCACAATGGCACCCATGTCAAACGCGCATCATTGTCTTCCCCATGGCCCTGTAGCATTCGTATCAATTTTCACAATCGTGTCTCACCGTTTATGAGATCTCATGTGTTGAACAAGGGAACTTTCTTTATAATCACCCTGCATCATAAAAATGGGAAGCATGGACCCAGTTTCCCTTTGAACGTCATTCGATCCACGTTCTAAGAACGAAAATTCGGGGGATTTAGTCAGGACTCAGAAGTCACGAATATAGCATGGGCTTCCTGCGTTCGTAAACCAACCAAATAGTCCCATAAAGATGTTACCATCTTCAAGGCATGTGCGAGTTACGAGATATGCAGGTAAATGTGAAACTTTGGGGGAAACTCTCTTATTTCCCTTCAGAACTAAGGGTACTAAACATTTATAACTCAATTCCACTTCCAGAACATTTAAAAAGCAGAAATTCGATTAAGCTGTCCTAAATACGTAAATCTGCAAAAAATTTCCGAAAAAAGTGTGGTTCGTTTTTGTGCTTTAGAACCTTGTTCCTCTCATAGAAAAGTATAGTTTTTTTCATTAGGGAAAGGAGGAAGTGCTTTATCGATACATACAAACCTTTAACAAGACGGTCAAGAAAATATTCACTCATTCCGTGTGGAGTTAGAGAAAGAATTTTTCGCAGATAGACCACTTTGCCTTTCAGCCCTTCATATAATGGGCTAATTGGTTAACCATCTGATATACTGTGGGTTACGGCTAGTCACAGTGATGGTTTTTTAATAACGACCAGGAAAAAAACCTTTAAAGAATTGATGATTGCGTGCTCAAAAGAGCACACACATGAATGCTAGCACTTCGACCTAAGCTAAAACTGACACGAAATTTAATTTAATTTAATTTAACTTAATAAAAGTTGGGAGTTGGTGGTTGGTTAATCAAGGTTGGTGACCGGCCCCGGGGCTGGTCACCAACCGCTCGCGAGCGTACTACGAGATTTCTCGGGGCCCGTCACCAATGTGTTAATCATTTTCTCATCAAAATCTCGCAACTTTCTATCAAGCGTACTTTCTGCTTTAATTTGAAACCTTGCCCCTTTCGCTTTTCACCACAAGAACAGCAACAAAAGATAACTAAGAAGAGATTTATTCTGCAAGCACGAGATCCCCCAAGAATCTTAAGAGGGAGTTAGGGGGCGCTAATGGTCAATTTCGAGGGGGAGTTAGAGGTCGCTAATAGGTCATGCTCCCGACGGTAGCATGAGGGAGCGTGACGACGAATTCTAGTGCATTCCGACGGTATCGCTTTCTAGCGGGGAGCCAGAAGGGGCATCGAAAGAATTTGTAGCTCGTATTAAGTAGTGAGATGTTACTTTACTACACGTCATTGAACAATGTACTTAAAAAAAAAATTCAAAGGAAGCTAGGCTGTGATGTTTGCATGCCTGTCATGTGGTATTCGCTTACAAATCCCACGATCAAAAACAGAAGAAAAACTTTTAGTGTGCATTTTCATTTCTTGGGAAAAAAAAGCCTTTAAGTAGATTCAGCCACAAAAAAGGCAGGTATCCTTCTTGCTTGTTCTTTCCTTATCGGAGAGACGGGGAAAGCTTATGGTCATCGTGACTTCTGTAGTCTTTCGCAAAAATAATTAACGGTAAACGATGGAGTAGTTTCTCATTTGTAGCTACATCAGCATTAAATGAGCAGGATTTGCAAGAACAAATTGCAATACCTACAACTTGTAAATGTGAACACTTCCTGCTCGTTAAAGGATTTCAGGTTGGGCATCAGAGCTTTCTCAAGAGTGCTTCAAAGGATCGCGCGTCTAGCAATTGAAATCGACACCTCTGTAATGGCGTGTCGTACAGAGTAAGATGTCCATGTGGCGTGGCTTGTCCATGTGAACATGAACAGGGAAAAGACTCGAGCAAATTGAATGGAAATCAAAACCTATCCGATTTCATGCCTCAAGGGCAGTCTGTCAAGAACGACATATTAAATGTGCAGACTGACTCAAGTGAGATAGTTGATCGTGACTGATGAGAGGAAACATACCAGCAGAACAGAACATATTCTAAAGTCAGAACACGAGAGAAAATTTCGGAGATGAAGTTTTATTATGCAGTAAAAAGCTATGATGTAAGGGGAGAGAATTTACTACACTGGGTGCCGGTCACGTTGCCATCTCGGCAGATTCACGAATCGCCCGAGGAGTCGGACTGTGTCCCGGCAAAGATTCTTTCACTGCCACAACAGGCTGAAAAATATAGCCACAAGAGTGCCACTAAGCATAACCATAGCCGAAAAAAAAAAGGTTCAATGACATTCTCAGCGGAGATATTCACCTTAGTAATGAGAGAGGAGGAGTTCCAGGGTCAGCACCTTGTTTGAAACCTGCAAAGATGAGAGCCATTCATGGTTTTTCTTTCATGACTGACATGCCAGATGGCACCATCAACAATTCAGATCGTACCAAGGTAGAGGACGAGCGGAACAAATCCTATGTGGAAGATGGTTCGGCCGACGGTGATGGGGACGGAGAGAAGGGAATTTCCTTTGTCGGGACTCGTGCTGCCACCAGGCCAATCCATTTTTTTAAATATATGTATGAACAGATAGCACCTTGAACACAGGGAAGAGTGTCACTGAGCTGCAGCTTCTCTGAGCCGCTCCAAGACTTGGGAGGCATCGAGACCAGAGACAGAGAAGACCTTGTCTCGGGACTTCCCTCCGCGATCCAGGCTCACGTCCGTCTTTCTCACACCGAGCGTCCTCGCGAGGAAGCGCATCAGTTCCAGATTCGCTTCGCCCTCCACCGGAGGTGCCGCCACGGCAACGTGCACCTCCGAATCCGTCACCTCGGTCACTTGGCTTACATTTGCACCCGGTTTCGCACGAACGCTGACCAGAACCCGGCCATCGGCAGCCGACTGTACCGGCCCTTTCGCGGGTTGTGGAACGCTTTCCTTCCCCGATGATCTCAGGGCTTTCTTTCTCGCCATTCTCGATGCCACGGCTATATTCCGACTCATTGCCAAAACAATTCACCTAATTTCTCACGTATATGCAAGAAGCTCCACCCCTATGTTCGTTGTGGAACCTGGATCGCCGAAAGAAGTCACGATGCAAGACTTAGAATGCGCATTACCCGAAACTGCCGACCACCTCGTGCCACCGAGACACGAACGTCACACAAGCCACACCCAAAAGTTCTTGGAGATGTCATCTTTCAGACATCTGGCTCGGTCAATTCAACTACGAAATTTCATATTGGCTCTGTACTCTCTTGGATCAGGTTACCGCATTGTCAACCTGAATATGTTGCAAAACTGCTGCTGCAAAACAGCATCAAACAAGTCTGAGAAGTCAATGACAACATATATTTATTCAGCAGATAATACGATTTCATATACTGCTCCCTGATGCAACAGAAAAAAGAGGCAAACTCACAAAAAATAAGTACTTTTGATAAAGATCATGATGAAAGGAATACGTTCCTTGAACGTAGCATGCTCCGTCATGAACAAACAACACCTCACAACATGCCTTTCTTTCAATATAGAAACAAATCTTCTGGAAAATATATTACTAAATTCATTGGTACGGGGGAAAAATTCTCATGTAACAGATATATCATCAATTCTTTTGGCATGTGATGAGAACCGGGGATCTACTTCTTGCCACGAGGACTGTCAGGAACCACACTGAAAGCAGACGTAACGGGACGAGGAGACCGTCTGACAGGAGAGTTCTGTGTTGGCAACTGGGAACGGTGCTGGTCGAGGAAAGAGTTGCCAAGAGAGGAAGTGCCCTCACTGATGGAATGAGGCCGATGTCCCATCGAGCTGGGCTGAAATGGCGAGGGCAACTGGACTGGACTGAAAATATTTCCCGCAAATTCTTCGAATGACGTATCACACACGTGTTGCTTCAGGATCGACTCCAAGGCGCGTGCCCTCTCTGTGTAGAAGTGCATGTAGTGAGGCAGAGTCGATCTCTTGGCCCTAGAGGCATTGATTGCTGTGGACCTCACGAGCCCAGGTAGCACCTTCCAGTGCACGATGGCTCCATCAAACAATGGCCCAAAGAAGGGGACCTCGGGCTTACGAGATATTTGAATCCGGTAGAGAGAATTCGGGAGGGGGTATATGCCGATGAGGACGTCGCAGAACTCGGTTGCGATGATGCCCCTTCGGTAGTCTCGGGTGTGCTCGGACCAGACGATGTGGACTTCATCGTTGCCCAGGTGGCGAGTCTTCTGCAGCAGAGCATCTTCACTGTTTGATGACATTCGAGTGGCAACATGAAACAGGACTTCGGTGAAGGATGTTGCATGATACGGAGCGGTTTCCCCCGTGGACCGATTGGCTCGTTGAAGTCCTCCAGTGAACCCAACGTGAGATGCAAGCTCCACTTCCCACCCGAGTCCCGAGAGAAACTCTTCGTACGACTGGGAGCCCCCGCTGTTACGCAGGATGGAACTCTTGTCCTCTTGCCCTTCAGCAACATATATAACAGCAATCTTGTGCTTGTCACGGCATCTCTGCCCATCGAGATTCTTGATCTCCCGCAGGAGCCGCTCGGTCTTGTTCAGCAGTTTTACCTGACTTCGTCTTTCCCAGGTTCCAAATCCCAGCTGCCAAAACAGCATATGACAGAGATAAAAAGGTGAAGGAAGATCAACAGGGGAGAGAGGATGAACCCAACCCATTCCTTGGCATTCAACACTGGTCTTGCCAATCTGCTCCGTCACCTGAGTCCTCTGGCTCAAGATTGTGGACATCGCTTCTTCCTGTAATGTCTGGGGCAGAGAAGTTGGCTTGGGGCTTTGTTCATTGAGTGGGGTGCCAGTACAAACTTCAGGCCCTCGAGTTCCAACAAACTGCAGGATGTCATCCAGATTGTCCATGTCATTTTCTGTCTCTTGGAATAATGGCAAGACTCCTGACGGCCGACGACGCACGGTGCATCGTGGCAGGGCATGGGACAGAGTGGATGGATGAAGGCTTGCCACTGACAGAGATTCGCAGTGTTCTTCGCCTGGAAACCCACTGTCCATCGACAGGGTCCCATCTCTCTCCTCGACAGGAAGGCGGAAGAGGAGCGTGGCATCCCAGGCGCTCTTCCCGGCCATGTCGCGACAGATAACCCTCACCTGGCTCTTGGGAGTCAGCAAGCCTGCTGTCACACCCCCCCCTGGAGATTCCAAGAGTGGAAGCTGCACGAAGGACACGAGACAGCTGTCGCTGATGGCAAAGAATTGGACATTGGGTAATGTGAAGATGTCTGGGTGAAGTTCGTGTGGAGCAGCCATTCCTGGGATGTCATCCGTTTCCACAACCAAGGACCCAAGTTGAGCTGCTCCAAGGCCCATTGGAAAATGGCCCAAGTGAAGGACCAAGTGATTCATCACTGCTCGAGCTGCTAGTTGAATGTTTGCCTTCTCACCAGGATTTTTCAGCCAGAACAAGTCCACTGCTGGTGAGCTAATACCCGAGTCCTGCTTCGGGAGAGACCTCGTTGGCGACCCCATCAATCCCTCTTGGAGGTCATTCACCTGGACCGTTGGAATAAAGTCGCTGCCCTCACCTCCTTCTGCACGATTCTTTGCACGCCGAAGCGGAGTGATGAGGCCTTCAGCAGCTACAGTCAGCACACGAAAGATAACTTGCAGAAGAGAGAGTCCTCTTGGAGTTTCAGCTGATAGTAGCTTTTCAGGTGGAATTTGCATGGTCCACTCTCCAAGACATAGGAAGAGTGATGTCACAAAGTGACTGTCAGTTGTGTTCAAGCTTGGAGATGATAAAACAGCCTCAACAGCTTCACATAAACTTTCCAAGATCTTCCATACAATATTTGGGAAGCAATCTTCAAGTCGATGAGATCGGTCACAGAGGAGAAGGACAAGATCAACAGCAACTTGAGCAATTGCTTTGTCTTGAAACCTGATAGCCTGCAACAGAACTGATATTATCTCTGGAGACTTCACATGGGGTGTTCTGTGCAGCAGATCTTCGTATACAAACATAGCCAAGCTGCATAATGCAATACATCTTGCACATGCTGCTGGTTCACGCTTTCCAGATTTCAATAAGACACTAATGAGATGATCTTTGACCTGAGTGCAGTGCATGAGTTCCAGCTGAGATGCACTGGGAGTCAGAGTTGGGATCTCCAAGAGATCAGTTGGGTGATTCAGCAGGACTCCAAGGATGCCAACGGCTTCTGTACGAGGCATCCCTTGAGTCTGAGAAGCAGCAGCAATGGTATTTGCAGCATAAATAAAATCCAACAACAGTAATGTATAGCCAGGCAAGCAAGTGCTGAAATATGAAGGCCCTGTGTACTTTACTATTGTGTTGATAGTCTCTTGTTCAGTTGCAATAAGGCCATAGTGAAGGGTTCGATAAAACTGAGTCAAATGCTCTTTGGTAAGAGGAACATCTTTTTGCTGAAGTGTAATCACACATATAAGCTTCAATGCCAGCAGTTTGCCTTTCTGATATGAAGTCGGTAATGTGATGGCATGAAAGCACCACGGGATGAGCATAAGGAGAGGAGGTACAAGCTTTGGTGGAGGAGGTGAGGACTGATTGTCTTCAGATATGCCAAGATTCTGACGAATCTTCAGCAGGGTGTCGGCAACATCGACGAGGCACTCGAGGAAGCGAGCGTGTAATTCGGGGCGTGCCATGAGATTCGAATCCATCAGACAGCCGAGGAGACGTCGCCATAGCACCACGGTCGCATCTGGGGTCCAGCCAACATTGTTGCCTCCGGCCATGACCGAGCGGGGTTCTTCGATGGTATCCCCAATCTCTAGACTGGGTTGGTCAACCGATGAGTCATCTCTGAGTTCAATCTGAATCGGAGCATCTCGGATGGATGAAGAGTCGATTCCTGATGAAGGCGCTGGAGAAGGGGATCTGCTCGATTGGTCTTCCCATCGCAAACTGAACCTGGTCAAGGAATCATAAGATCTAGGTCGTCGAGCATGATGGCCCCGCTCAGGGTAATCTGTGAATGACTTATGCTTCACTATTAATGCTCCATCACTTAGGCTCCGTTTCAAAGCGCCTTTCAGGATGCTGCTTGGACCAGGGCTTGCTCTCGTGTGAGAGTCATCGATACTGGTGTGATGACGCACATGGTGTAGTGGGCCCTGCACTTTTGGTGTCGAGCTTGTTTCTGATGTAGCCGATGTGCTGGCTGTGGTTGTTGACCGGCCCCGAAAGGAATCATTGTTGGTGCCTCCAGCCCCCCTCAGCCTCTTCTTTGTCCTGAGTTCAGTCAGTCGGTCCAAAGGAAGGTCATTCATGTCAAGACCGTAGACATGCCTTGCCAAAACTCGTGTCAGGGTCTCAATGGTCTTACTCCATTCAAGAATCAGTTCTTCCCATTCCACCAGTGATGCAATAATAGCTAGGAACTGATCCCAGAGGTGGCTGGATACCATAACATTGAGGTTAGCACGAATCCACGTCACAATGAGGGTCTGAAACAGCGGTGCAGCCAGACGACCTCCCAAAGTGTCCTTCTTACGGGTGGGGGGCACTTCCTTAAGGCATGAGGATGTGATGTGAAGGAGAACGTTGAGGAGTTGCTCCCATGTCCGCTGGTTCATGAATGTGTTCATGACCATGAACCGATATATATTGAGGACTCGCTTGCACAGGTCTACCTGGTCTTCCAGCAGCTCCACGTAGACTTCGTTGATATCCATGAGAAAAATGCATGAGGAATGTGTAATGAAGAGCTGGAGGAGATTCTGCAGTCCTGCTTTCACTGTGCTTTTGTCATCAGAGATAGAATTGGACCTCTTTCGTTGCAATTGCTTCTTTCCACCTCCTGGATCCGGTTCTTGAATAAATGGGGGTTGCTCCAGCTGCATGATCCAGTCTCGATAAACAGATATGATCACCCGAATGGAAAGGGCCTGGCTTGGTCCAATGAAAAATCCCAAGCGAAATATCTCATGAATGAGATTGACATTTTCCCGGGAGGCGAATAAGACATCACGCACTACTCGATGCTCCTCTGAGCTGTGCTCCTCCCCCCAGGAGTAGAACATGAGGGATACAGAGGGATGCCGAGAAGAGGGGGCAATGGTAGTGCCAGTCGCTGCACTGGAATATGAAGTCATGCTCACATTTGATGATGTTGAACCTATTTCTGAAGGGACAGTGGTGTCTGATTCAGAGCCAGATGAAGGTTGGAAAGTCATAGCACTGGAACGCCTCCTCGTTTCCTGATATGGAATTGAATTCGACCGGTTTGCGGTCTCTGCTTCATAGTGTGTGAAAATGCATAGCCACCTGATGAAGATGACCTTGAGCTGCTCTAATGGGTCAGATCCCAGAGGTCCTCGCAGAGATCGCGGTTCATACAAGTCCAGCTTTGGACTGTACAAGTTCGTACTGGTCGAAAAGTTGGGAAATATGCGAATCAGGTAGTATTTTTTGAACTGGTCAAAAAGGAACGCAAATGCCTCATGCGACTGGCTCTCCTGATTCTCTTGCCACTGGATGCGACACACTTCTGTCACTATGAAGTTGAGGAAATACTCAAAAAACATGCACATGATCTCATTCATGCCAAGTTCCATTGACTGGGCTGGGATGATGGGAGAGATGTCAACTCCAGACACAAGGGCTGTCTCAGGTCCACGATTCTCCCCCCAGCTGGTATCGACCACCGAGAAGGAAAAGAATCCTTGCTGCTCGATGGCAGGTGGCTGAAGACCAGGGACAAGGTTTGCAAACGTTGCATGATGTACTTCACTGGCTGATGAGCCCAAGATCTGGTACCACAAGAGGAAGAGGCGGACGGCTTCTTTCCGCACCCTCAAGACATTCTGTGGATGCAAGAGGCAGCCTAAGACATATTCCAAGCTGCGGAGCTGCCATTTTTGATGGAGTAGCTCGGGCAAGAACACGAGGATCTTTTCGAGGAGATAAAGGACGGAGTCGAGGTCTTCGCGTTGCTGCCGTGTGATACGGTCCTTCTGCTTCAGGTTGGACTCAGCCAACATGAATGCATCGAAGAACACGTTATAAATATGGCTGTATTGAGAAACAAAAAACAGCTTGAGCTCCGACGGGTCGGAAGTGTCGAGAACGTGCCTCAGGTGTTTGACACGGGTCGGGACATCCTTTTTGGCGTCCAGCACCTTGAACATGGACTTGCGCATGTCCTCGGTCTGCTTCTTCCGAATGAAATTCATTTTTGTTGAGGGCCTAGAAATAAAAAGCAAATGATTGCTATCTTTGCTCTGAATCCCACAACTAAACAACGTGAATTTAAATTCAATTCAAATTCAATCTTTCCTCCCATTCAGGATAGTTTCAACAGGTTAGCAAATGTAAACCAAGAAAAATACTAAGATGTAAAGATTGAAATTAAGTGATTCCTTTTAATTAAAGCGCTTCGCAGCTCTACAGGCTGTAGACAAGAGCAAAATATTTCTGTATAAAAAACTGTGAAAACATTAGGCATCTCCTCTCATTCATGCCTGACTTTGAAACAAGTCAGTCATTAGATAGCACAAATGTCTTGAATCAAAGACAAAAAAATGCCCTTTGGATCTGGCAGGGAGTGGAGCAAAATGCATCAGACATGTATTGCCTACTAAGTCCCAATGCCCACCCATACAATAGAAATGCAAAGAAGAGAGTTATGCAATGGTAAAATAAATTTAAAAAAATTACTTTGACCAAGTCTGTCAAACCCTTTCTCATCTACTTCAGACTCCTGAGGTGTCCTGAATTACTATGGCTAATATTAGCTTTTCAAATTTACTTGAAAATTTGAAAAAATGGAAGGGCAATATCATGCCTGAGAGCCACATTTATGCCAATTTTCAAATTAGTGTGACAAGTTGGGAGATTAAGGGTAATGTTCCCCTCGATATTTTTTCAATGCACAGCATTCAGCAGGGATATATGTCACTTAGCAATCAAACTATGATATTGTCTTTTATTCATTCCCAATTTGGAAGGCTACAGAAGTTCCTTACAGCTCCTGCAATGCCTGAAATACAGAGATAGCAGGAACAGAGGAAATGCTTGTATCTGCTCTAAGTATGCCAACATTTTCACAAATAAGAAGGGGAAAGATTGAGTCAGAATAGAAGGAATTACAAGAGAAAAGGAAACAATCTTGTCTGCCTTGGATGTCCTGGAGATTACTCAGTCAATCAAAATCATAACATTCAGTGAACCCAAACAAATACAGTCGACTCTCAATATAGTGAACACTGATATAACAAAAAACCAGTTGTACCAAAATCCTTGACATTGTCTGGCTAAATGTCCATAGATATCCATGCTAAAAAAAAAAATTGGGATATAAAAAAATCTCCAACATTATGAAAGAATTTCTGTGTCCTCCAGATGAAAACTACGCGGGATAAAATGAATTTTCCCGTCCAGAAGGAATCAAATTTCTTTCTCTCTCTTGACAGAAGAGCAGAAGGGTCAGTCCTCATCTCAATTCACCTCTTAACCTCAATCTTCAGCTGCACAGCCAATGAGAACCAAGTATTTGGTGCACGCAGAATGTGCATCATAAGGAATGTGAATGTCGGTGAATGTGAATGTCGGTGAATGTGCGTGTGGCGAGGGATGTGAACGCGGAAGATGCAAGTGAATGAAGTACTTCCGCGCTCATGCTCAGCAGCTATTTGTCAAGTTCCTTTGTTCCAATGATCCCCTGCAAGTTTTAAGTTACAAGGCTTCAAAGATGTCCATGCCCTTTACATGGCAGAAGCATTTACACATTCAACCTTTTCGCTGCGTAGTTTATTTGGCACACAGCCAAAGGCAACGTTGCAGGAAGCAAAATAAGTCACTTATCAAAGCATATGGGTTAAGATGTCAGCTGCCAATGCTATTTTCAATGCTTTAACTGCGATGCCATGTGATCCATCCGTGGATATGTGGCAGAGAAGGTGTGTGTCGTCCATGAAACCCTCAAAAGCCATTAGTCTCCCCAAGTACACCGATGGGATAATAATAATATATACACAGGCATAATGGGATTCAGTTCTCTAATTTGAAATATATAACTCACCTGATAGAACTAAAACGCAATATAATGAAACAACTTCGACAGCTTCATCAACTTTGTAATACTGAGACTTAACTGTACTGACATACAATCTGAAACTTAAAATTTAATCCATTATTAATTCTGGAGACTATTGAAACCATTCCACATAACACGAAATATAACTAAACAATCGCAAGCTGCTATGAATCCAATGAATTGCAGAAAGCTGACACCATTGAAAGACTGAAAGAAAACAAGTAGCCATGAAGCCCCAAATGCTTGCCTCTACAGAGTGGCTGCGAAGGCACAACTCCACGAAGGTAAAAACCAAAACTAAAATTTCAGCCTATAATAAAAGCTACACAATCCAATGAAAGTTGCACAAAACACTGAAGTGGATCATTATCTTTACCCAATTAACAGTCCACGACACCAGCCAGGGTCGAAAATACTTCAACAAAAGAGAGTCTGCCAAGCTCTTCTCAGATTCAGAAAAGAGGTTTTATGTTTTTTTTTTTTTGGTGAGTGCAATTCATTAAGTGTGGATGGAAGGTTTACACTATAAACCTGCGAACGAGGTTCGTGGGAATGGAGACGCATGAGTGGGAGGTTTGCTTCGTCTGCTTGCATATTCTTTCTGGGAAATTGCAATTTGTCGCCTCAGGTTCGTGGGAAAAAATTTTTGTTTTTTCTATACTGCTCTAAATACAGGGTGTCAAAAAAAGTTAATGCTGTAATAATGACTTCCTGGTATTATCTTGAACTTGATTTTTGAAATGTTGCATTAGTTAGAAAGAGATTAGGCTTTCATCTGCTGAAAACGACATGAAAATTGACACTTTCTGAAGGAAGACATGGAACAGTGAAAATTAAACTTAAAAAAAATGAACACACCATTATTAAAGGACATGTTCAAGGCGTGCTCCTCCTTGACACCAACACGCCATCAGACGCTTAGTGAGGTTTTCTACTGCTGACTGACTTGTTCCTGTTCNAGGTTAGCAAATGTAAACCAAGAAAAATACTAAGATGTAAAGATTGAAATTAAGTGATTCCTTTTAATTAAAGCGCTTCGCAGCTCTACAGGCTGTAGACAAGAGCAAAATATTTCTGTATAAAAAATTGTGAAAACATTAGGCATCTCCTCTCATTCATGCCTGACTTTGAAACAAGTCAGTCATTAGATAGCACAAATGTCTTGAATCAAAGACAAAAAAAATGCCCTTTGGATCTGGCAGGGAGTGGAGCAAAATGCATCAGACATGTATTGCCTACTAAGTCCCAATGCCCACCTATACAATAGAAATGCAAAGAAGAGAGTTATGCAATGGTAAAATAAATTTTAAAAAATTACTTTGACCAAGTCTGTCAAACCCTTTCTCATCTACTTCAGACTCCTGAGGTGTCCTGAATTACTATGGCTAATATTAGCATTTCAAATTTACTTGAAAATTTGAAAAAATGGAAGGGCAATATCATGCCTGAGAGCCACATTTATGCCAATTTTCAAATTAGTGTGACAAGTTGGGAGATTAAGGGTAATGTTCCCTTCGATATATTTTCAATGCACAGCATTCAGCAGAGATATATGTCACTTAGCAATCAAACTATGATATTGTCTTTTATTCATTCCCAATTTGGAAGGCTACAGAAGTTCCTTACAGCTCCTGCAATACCTGAAATACAGATAGCAGGAACAGAAGAAATGCTGTTATCTGCTCTAAGTATGCCAACATCTTCACAAATAAGAAGGGGAAAGATTGAGTCAGAATAGAAGGAATTACAAGAGAAAAGGAAACAATCTTGTCTGCCTTGGATGTCCTGGAGATTACTCAGTCAACCAAAATCATAACATTCAGTGAACCCAAACAAATACAGTCGACTCTCAATATAGTGAACATTGATATAACAAAAAACCAGTTTTACCAAAATCCTTGACATGGTCTGGCTAAATGTCCATAGATATCCATGCTAAAAAAAAAATTTTGATATAAAAAAAAATCTCCAACATTATGAAAGAATGTCTGTGTCCTCCAGATAAAAACTACGCGGGATAAAATGAATTTTCCCGTCCAGAAGGAATTACATTTCTTTCTCCCTCTTGACAGAAGAGCAGAAGGGTAAGTCCTCATCTCAATTCACCTCTTAACCTCAATCTTCAGCAGCACAGCCGCCTATGAGAACCAAGTATTTGGTGCACGCAGAATGTGCATGATAAGGAATGTGAATGTCGGTGAATGTGCGTGTGGCGGGGGATGTGAACGCGGAAGATGCAAGTGAATGAAGTACTTCCGTGCTCATGCTCAGCAGCTTTTTGTCAGGCTCCTTTGTTCAAATGATCCCCTGCAAATTTTAAGTTACAAGGCTTCAAAGATGTCCATGCCTTTTACATGGCAGAAGCATTTACACATTCAACCTTTTCGCTGCGTAATTTATTTGGCACACAGCCAAAGGCAACGTTGCAGGAAGCAACATAAGTCACTTATCAAAGCATATGGGTTAAGATGTCAGCTGCCAATGCTATTTTCAATGCTTTAACTGCGATGCCATGTGATCCATCCGTGGATATGTGGCAGAGAAGGTGTGTGTCGTCCATGAAACTCTCAAAAGCCATTAGTCTCCCAAAGTACACCGATGGGATAATAATAATATATACACAGGCATAATGGGATTCAGTTCTCTAATTTGAAATATATAAAGAACTAAAACGCAATATAATGAAACAACTTCGACAGCTTCATCAACTTTGTAATACTGAGACTTAACTGTACTGACATACAATATGAAACTTAAAATTTAATCCATTATTAATTCTGGAGACTATTGAAACCATTCCACATAACACGAAATATAACTAAACAATCAGTTCGACGATACTTAGGTTACTTAACGTCTTTCGACTGTGGTAACTTTCTGACTTTCTTTTGTTCATCGGTACTTCGGGGTTTACGAACGGAGATGTCTCACCGACGCTTCCGTGTTGAGGTGCTTCGTAAAAACCAAAACTAAAATTTCAGCCTATAATAAAAGCTACACAATCCAATGAAAGTTGCACAAAACACTGAAGTGGATCATTATCTTTACCCAATTAACAGTCCACGACACCAGCCAGGGTCGAAAATACTTCAACAAAAGAGAGTCTGCCAAGCTCTTCTCAGATTCAGAAAAGAGGTTTTATGTTTTTTTTTTTTTGGTGAGTGCAATTCATTAAGTGTGGATGGAAGGTTTACACTATAAACCTGCGAACGAGGTTCGTGGGAATGGAGACGCATGAGTGGGAGGTTTGCTTCGTCTGCTTGCATATTCTTTCTGGGAAATTGCAATTTGTCGCCTCAGGTTCGTGGGAAAAAATTTTTGTTTTTTCTATACTGCTCTAAATACAGGGTGTCAAAAAAAGTTAATGCTGTAATAATGACTTCCTGGTATTATCTTGAACTTGATTTTTGAAATGTTGCATTAGTTAGAAAGAGATTAGGCTTTCATCTGCTGAAAACGACATGAAAATTGACACTTTCTGAAGGAAGACATGGAACAGTGAAAATTAAACTTAAAAAAAATGAACACACCATTATTAAAGGACATGTTCAAGGCGTGCTCCTCCTTGACACCAACACGCCATCAGACGCTTAGTGAGGTTTTCTACTGCTGACTGACTTGTTCCTGTTCTGGTTATAGCGATTGAGAGAGATGGGTTGCCAAGGTCAATTAATCCTGTGGCATTTTTGCTGACAAATGCCCAAGAACCAGCAATAGAATGATGAGTCTCCCAGCAGTACACTTGTGACTCACTCGCTTCTTTGAGTGCTCCCCTTGCCAGATTCTCTTGTTTAGGCTGTTTGCAGTGGTTCATCAGCATGTCTGAATTTTCCTATGGTAAACTTTATCTTTCCATACCTCACAAAACTCAAATAACTGGAAGCATGTTAGAAGCCGTAACCTTTCGAATTAGAGAAGGGTACAATTGACCATGTTAAAGTTAACATTATATTGCGTTCCTTTTAGGTAAGAACGTCACATGAAAAAAAAGAGATGCCCTATACAGGGTGGCGCAAAAGTTACGCACCATATGGTAAATCAAAGTAAATGTTCGAGTCGTTTGTCATTAACTTGAAAACACTTCGAATCGCTGTAACAATGTTTGAACATATCTAAACTCCACATTCTTGTCTTTCATTAACTTTGCAGCCATCAGTTACCTGCAAAGAAATAAGAGGTAATGTTGTACGACAGTGAAATCCCATATGGTGTGCGACTTTTGCGCCACTCTGTATATGGGAGACACCCAAAAAATTCATGGAAAAAATTACTGCTGCACCATGCTCTTGATTCATTGAGTCCACGAATTCACCAACTTGCACCTGGACTCTCTGGGAGCTGAAACTGGTTGGTGGCAATGGTACAGTGGATGTGTTACCTTGGAAGGTAAGGTCTTTGTGTCGTCCTTGATAGAGTGCTTATTCATGCTCAAGAATTCCTCAAAGAAAAATGGAGGGGAAAAAATTAGTCTAAACGAAAGCCCGATTCGCCCTCATTATTTTGTTTTTTTTCTGTCAAATTTTTTCTTGTTTCAGAGATAGAGAGGATCCGACCCTGGTTGGTTTTGTGGATTGTAAGTAACAAATCATTTTTTAAATGTTTTTCAAGGTCTTTCTTGCATAAAAACACTTAAAATGCTGCAATATGAATATAAACTTCTAAACTAAAACTTCTTCATGACCATCAGCTGCAATTTGGACAAATGATTGGTTGCCATAGTTTTGCAATGGCTGAGTGGAACACTTACTACAGAAAAAACGCATGTGAATGAATTTCTGGGTGAAATATACATAAAACATGAACCTGTTTTCAATCCCTAGTCCTAATTGGGCACAAGGTGAACAAAAGGGTAAAAAATGGAGGAGCAGGAACCTGGGACTTGACTTGCATAGTCACTGGTTCTCAAATAGATTGATCAACTTCCACCATCCTGACATCCCTTTGTAGCAGAAATGGGAATGAGTCTCACCCTGTTATGCAGGATCACAGATGGAGCAGGAAATAGTTTGTACTTCTTGTCATGGACACATGAGCATCCACTTGGTAGTCGCATCTCCCACCAGCCACCAATTTTGAGTTTATTGACCTTCGTACAATCTTCGGCATTGGAAAGCTTAATCTCTTCCCATGTTAACTGGTACAATTTCAATTGTAATATAACGCAAGGAAAATCCATTCTTGCAGTGTACTTTTTTTTTTAGATGCCCTATACAGGGTGGCGCAAAAGTCACGCACCATAGGGTAAATCAAAGTAAATGTTCGAGTCGTTTGTCATTAACTTGAAAACACTTCGAATCGCTGTAACAATGTTTGAACATATCTAAACTCCACATTCTTGTCTTTCATTAATTTTGCAGCCATCAGTTACCTGCAAAGAAATAAGAGGTAATGTTGTACGACAGTGAAATCCCATATGGTGTGCGACTTTTGCGCCACCCTGTATATGGGAGACACCCAAAAAATTCATGGAAAAAATTACTGCTGCACCATGCTCTTGATTCATTGAGTCAACGAATTCACCAACTTGCACCTCTGGGAGCTGAAACTGGTTGGTGGCAATGGTACAGTGGATGTGTTACCTTGGAAGGTAAGGTCTTTGTGTCGTCCTTGATAGGGTGCTTATTCATGCTCAAGAATTCCTCAAAGAAAAATGGAGGGGAAAAAATTAGTCTAAACGAAAGCCCGATTCGCCCTCATTATTTTGTTTTTTTCTGTCAAATTTTTTCTTGTTTCAGAGATAGAGAGGATCCGACCCTGGTTGGTTTTGTGGATTGTAAGTAACAAATCATTTTTTAAATGTTTTTCAAGGTCTTTCTTGCATAAAAACACTTAAAATGCTGCAATATGAATATAAACTTCTAATCTAAAACTTCTTTCATGACCATCAGCTGCAATTTAGACAAATGATTGGTTGCCATAGTTTTGCAATGGCTGAGTGGAACACTTACTACAGAAAAAACGCATATGAATGAACTTCTGGGTGAAATATACATAAAACATGAACCTGTTTTCAATCCCTAGTCCTAATTGGGCACAAGGTGAACAAAAGGGTAAGAAATGGAGGAGCAGGAACCTGGGACTTGACTTGCATAGTCACTGGTTCTTAAACAGATTGATCAACTTCCACCATCCTGACATCCCTAACATCGTCTTTACCCTTACTCAGAGTGGGACAATACGTCCTAGTGTCTACCTCGTCCTTTATCAAACATGAAGAACAGTACCTGTGTACTCGTAGGTGAACCATCAGCGTAGAGGGTGGTCGGTGGTCAAGTCTCAGGCTCTTAATGCACAGTCTCACTACCTAATTCCAAATTCATGGATTCTTCATGAAGGCAAGTAGCACACATCAAACGAGCAGAATATATTGATAAAGTTGTTTTCTTGATAATTCAATGTAGGAGTGCTGAAAAAGTGTGGGGAGGCAAAATATCCTCCAAGCATGGTGGTTCCAACCAGCTCTTCAGCCCTCATGACAACCAAGAGAAACAGACACAATCTGAGAAAATTCTTGTGTATTGACTATTTTGCTCCATATTGTTACAAATAATACTGAGGGTCCAGAGTATTCTGTGCAACAGAAACTGACATGGAAAGATTGCTTAAAAGAGAAACTACACAGACAGACATTACTGGAAGAAACATGAAAAACCAAGGTGGTTAATGTTTAAAATACTGAGGATCCAGGGTATTCCTTGCCGCAGAAACTGACATGGAACATTGAGAAAAACAGAAACTACACTGAAAGATGTGATTGTGAGAAACATGAAAAACCAAAATGGAAATGCCTGATATACAGCCTTCTTGAATAAAAGAGCACAAAAATTCTCTTCCTGAATCACAGAGATCTTGATTCACCGGCAAAATACTGATACACAATGAAGAGATACTGGCACTTTGGGCGTTGAATGCCATTCGAGCAAACCAAACGACTACTTCATTATTTGACAGGAGCTGTGGATCCCTGCAGATAGAGGTGATTATACATGCCCTTTTGGGCCATCAGCTCAGCATGTGTGCCCTGCTCAACAATCTGTCCTTGGTGGAAAACAAAGATCCGGGCAGCATTCTGAATTGTGGACAGGCGGTGAGCGATGGTGATACATGTGCGCCCCTGCTGTGCTCGTAGGTCCCGTAGGACGTGGTGGACTTGTTTTACTTTTTTTGTCCTTCTACCTACTATGACTAGTCGTCTTGGTTCAGAAGGAATTTTTTTGTAACACAAATTACCATTCTACCATTACGAAGTTCAAAAATTGCTTCAACAAAAAATGTCAACCTGAGAAGAATTCATGACTGTATACAGCCATACAAGAAATTTTAATTGTGGCAACATCATGCTTTTTAAATATCTTGTTTTCCTAGGAACAAGAAAATTTTCTGCCATTAGTAAACAGGGAAGCAAGAACCTTATGTGACAGACATATGCTTGAAATCCATCTGGCAATTTTTCCCAGGTTTCCCAACCCACCTAAAACATTTCCATTGTTGAAGCATAAAATCCCTCACTAACAAATACAGCTATGAGAAAACTCTAGAGCCAACATGAAAAACACATTCTAGGCCAGATAAATTGACTCAATGTTCTGGAGAAATTTAATTGCTATTGCTTGCTTGCAGTGAAAATCAGTGCTCTCATCTGAAAAAGCCAAACCTATGTTACATGTTCATGGAAGCTGTAAGGCCTAATTAATGTTGACCATAAAAAACAAATGAACAAAGACATACCTTTTCACTCTCACTGTCCAAGGCGGAAGTGGCTTCATCAAGGAGTAAAACGGCTGGATTCCGTACCAAGGCTCGAGCGATGGCTACTCGCTGCTTCTGACCACCAGACAGCTGAGCCCCTTTCTCACCCACTCTGGTATCATAGCCCTGGATGCATCAAGGTTAAGGTGATCACACTTCAAATTGCCTTCAAAAGTGGTGAAATTGTTGGTTCACACATCACATTGTCTCAAACCTGTGGCAGACTGACGATGAAGTCATGAATGTTGGCCTGGCGAGCTGCCTTGATGATCTCATCATACTGCACCAAGCGGTCATTATCTCCATATGCGATGTTCTCTCCGATTGTGCGGTCAAAGAGAATGGGCTCCTGTGATACCAGACCGATCTGTGCTCGCAGGCTCCCAATCACCAGGTCTCGCAGATTTTCTCCATCCAAGCACTTAAGAGATGAAGGTGTTGCTTATGTGAAAATAAATTTTCACATTTGGAAAAATCCAACTCCACATGGGTAGCTTAGGGAAATGGCTCTATTGAGTCCTAACTAGCCAATCCCTTCAAGTATTGCAAATGCATTTATTGACAGCAAATCCTAATGCTTAGTATAAGCTATCCTAAGCAGTAAGAACTGATTTCAGCATGATGATCTCTGAGGCTATCCAGCTCAAGGGATTATAAGGTGGTTGAGCCTACCACACACATTGGCATCAAAAACGTTACTGATGGTAGCTTCCCTGAATTCATGAAATCTCCCATTATCGGCACACTAGCTGAAACAGTTTTTGAGATATGCTTCCTCGAGTTTAGGCCTCCAGGGAAAAGTGACCCAAAAGGTCTATGATCATGAAAAAACTAAACTTCAGTAGGGTACCCTACTTCACAAATTGGTCATATGAATTTGAATAGCCTATTATAGTAAATTTTCCTTCAATTTAACATTCCATTTTCTGGGTTAAACAAGATTTTTTTAAATATTTGAAATTATTGTCAAATGAAAGCTCCTCCCAAACATGATTGACTTTCATGTTATACATTCATCAATATTCAAGTTCATACATTGACTTTTCAAGCCTGAGGGTTTAACACCAATAGTGAAATAGCTTTCAATGAAACATCCTTTGATGCCATGAGACCATCAATCCATACATCCATTAAAAAAGATCCATCATCAGGTCACTTCATCCTCAATGGCAATATCTTCTCTTTCTTTTCTTTCCCTTTTCAACTTTATTTCTTCTCCACATTGAGATGCATGTAAATCATTTGAAGTGCAACTCCATCATCCATACATACATGAAGATACCCTCACTAATATGCAAACTCACCACTTGGCCTTGACTGGGGTCATAAAATCGCTCAAGGAGCTGAATACAGGTGGATTTGCCACAGCCTGAACTCCCAACAAGGGCTATTGTTTGCCCTGACAGTGCATTCAGTTTCAACTTCTTCAAAACCATGACTGAGGATCGTGTAGGATAGGCAAAGTCCACATCTTGGAACTTGATATCTCCCTTTGCCCTTGCCTGGCAGAGAAAACACATAAAAATACATCGCTCTGTGCAATACCTGAAACAAGCAGTGCAATTAATATAGTTGAGTATAACAGTCCAAGATAATTGAGGACAATTTCTACATATGAGACAGTGAAAGGAAGCTGAAAAGTTCAAAAAAAGTTCACTACTACTTCTAACTTCTTGTTCCTGGTTCAGAAATACTGATCATGGCCTCCACAACCACAAATAATAAGTTTAAAAAACTACAATTCTTCAGTAATTGCTTGTCAATTACCCCATACCCAGGAAGTCAAAGGTCAAAATTAATAAATTTCCTTATCATATTCTTAAATGCAACAATTCGAGATTGACATGAGGACTCACCATTGTCTTTCCTGCCTTAGAGGTAGAATCTATATCAGGGACTCGATCCAATAGCTGGAAGATGCGTGCTGAGGAGATAAGGGCCTGATTATAATTTGGTGCAAAAGCCATGGCCTGGCCAACCATCATAGTTCCAAGGATCAATCCCTCAGCAACTCTGTCATAAATAAATCAAATAAAAACGCATATTTCTTGCAATGCAGAGTGATTGAAATCTATATTAAAAAAAACACACAATGACTCACTTAAAGACATCATCATATCCCAGACCCTCCGTTCTGATGAGATAACCACCATAGAACATGCAGGCTGCATATGCAAAGAATGGAATCGACTGGGCCATCCCAAAGATCATGCCACGCATGTGAGAACGTCTTTGAGCCTGGCGGTGAGGTTTTATCATGCGCTCCATGAACATGTCATGAAAGGTGACTTCACGGCGCAGTCCTGCCACGGTGCGAATGTTTGAAATTGCCTCCACAGCCACCTGATGATTAAAACAGACACCCATTTCAGTCTAGTTCTCAGAGCTACGGGCTGCCTCAGAGAAGGAACCAACCTTGCTGGCATTTTCCAATGATTTCTTGGCAAGTATGTTCTGTCCATGAATGATCCTGGCCTCAAAAAAGGCACATATGACAAGGAAAGGCACAAAAACCATGGTGACAAGACCAAGCTTCCAGGAGTAGTAGAGTGACAATGCTATGGCCATGATTATGGTTGTGACACTCTGTGTAACAGTTCCCATACGAGATCCAGTTGCCTGCAACAGAAAGTTTGCTTTTGTCAATTTCTCCCTCATGATAATCTTTATACAATCAACTCTCATTATTCCACATTTAAGGGAGACCAATCCTTTTCACTTAATATTTGTCTATAATACTGAAAATCTGCCCATGACCATTCACTTTCCTTCTCTTTGCCTGGAAAAGAAAAAGGCACTCAGCATGTACATGACATGTGAACAGCATGTATATTATGTTATTCCTTTTTTCATGCACAAAAAAATCAGTTCATCTACTCTTTCCAAAGATATCTAGGAAAAAAAAAAATCCTGTCATTTAGCATGAAAAACATTGGAATGCTTTATGCAATAGGGTGGTGCATTCCTCTTCCATTTCCCCAACATTAATGCAGCACCGATTGGGAATATCAAATGCTTTGTACTTTCCTTTCCCATTGGGTTAGTGATAGGTGCTGAGGAGGAGACAGAAACTTTCTGAGCATAATTCTGAGATATGAATGAGGATGAGGAGGAATAAGGAGGGAAAAGAGGTGTAGTCATCAATTCACACTGCAGTGAACAAGTTAACTAGGTAGTGAAGTTTCTTGCTGCTACATGGGAACAAGATTTAACCAAGACAGGTTCAATAATCAAAGCAAAATAAGTTAATGTTGTCTGTAAAGTGATGGCAAAGTAACAGAAACAACCTACGCCTTGCATGCTGGAGGCATCAGAGGAAAGTCTGGCACAAAGGGCTCCAGTACTGTGCCTAACATCATCATACCAGGCCATCTCCTGCTTCATCATGGCAGCAAAGGTGACCTTCCGCATCCTATGTGTCAGTTTCTCTCCTGCTATTGCAAACATGTAAGCCTGGAAAGATAAACACAATTTGGAATGGAGTTGTGATGGTGGATAACTTGTTCTTTTATACTTTCATATTTTTGGTTCAAAATGAAAGCTTACCATGAAAAATTGGGCAATTCCTGATGCCACACCCACACCCAAGAACAACACAGCATAGTAATTGCCTTCTGCTCTAGCCTCATCAGGCTCTGCTATTGAAAGGGTCTAGAACACAATGTTAAAAAAATTGGAGAAGTGAACATACATTATCTGTTGTTTCCACTCCAAGAAAGGGAAATGAAGCTGACCCCAAGAACATCACCAAAGAGAATGGCATAAACTGGCATGGAAGCCCCCATGGCAGCTGCAGAGATGACTCCTACGAGAATGTATGGCCATTCGGGAGAATTCATCTTCATGATTCGCCATACAGAAATCTGCAACTTCTTATCTTCCTCGTGATCTTCAACCTCGGAACGTGTACTCTCCAGTCTCTCCTACCAGAGGAATGACAACAGCTTCACAAGGATGCTTTTGCAATGTATTTACAACCCAAGTATGAAATATCCCCAGAACATGCACAGGATACAGCACAGCTCCACTGGAGCTGAATGCAATTTTCCTCACATATGGAGCAAGTCATGCCAAAAAATTACAGGGTCACTTAGTTGATTTCACTAATACAGTCGACTTTCAGTATAACGAACATTGATATAACAAAAAGCCGGTTATACCAAAATCCTTGACATTGCCTGGCCAAATGTCCATAAATAAATAAATAAAATGTCCATGCTAAAAAATCTGGATATAATGAAATCAGATACAATGAATTTTCCCCTGGGAAATTTTTTTTTTCTCCCTCTTGATAGAAGTGCAGAAGTGTCAGTCCTCCACCTTGGTCTTAAGCAGCATAGCCTATGAGAACGAAGGATTTGGCATGTGTAGAATGTGCATGATAGGGGGAATGTGAATGTGGGTGAATGAGCACGTGGTGGGGATGTGAACATGAAAGATAAAAGTGAACAAGGCACTTCAGTGCTTGCACTCAGCAGCTATTTGTCAGGCTCCAATGTTTCATTGATCCAGTGAGAGTTTCATTTTGACCTCAGGTGGTCCATGCCCTTCACATGGCAGAAGCATTTACACATTCAACCTTTTTGCTGCATAATTTACTTGGCACACAGCCAAGAGCCAAGGGCAATGTTGCAGGAAGCAACTGAAGCTGCATTCACAGCATAAGGGTTCAGATGTCAGCTGCCAACATGATTTCCGACACTTTAACCATGATGCCATGTGGTCCACCAGTGGATATGTGACAGTGTAGCTGTTAAAGTACTGTCATCCATGAAACCCTCAGAAGTCGTAGAGCCCCCAAAGTACACTGACAGGATAATAATCATATATACAAGGGCATAACAGGATTCATTTCTCTAATTGGAGATGTACAGATTCTCTCCTGATACAATGAAAACCTGATATAACGAAATAATTCAGGTGGCTTCATCAAGTTTGTTAAAATGAGAGTTGACTGTAGCAGTTTCTGGTCAGTCACTGAATTCATGCAGCATGCAAAGATTGAAGCTTATTAGTTGAGAAATGAAATGTACAATGCACCCATGGACATGCGTAAAACTTTTCTAAAGAACAACCTCTGACGTAAATGAGAGGTCAGCAAGTTCACCTTCTGCCAAACTGTCATCCTGGGAAAAAACACCAACTACCATCACCTTCACACTGGAAACCTTCTCGAAACATTAATAAAGAGAGAATTAGTTTCTTCCAGCAAAATTACACACAACATAGGATAAAGGCATACTCTTTAAAATTGCTGAATGAAATGAGTAGTCAGCAAAACCTAGATCACATGCTCCAGCAAAATACATCACAGAATGAGATAATCTTCAGACATGAAACATTAACCCTGTCACAGATACTATAATTAAAGTATCAGGACTTCTTTCCTCAATGTGACATCACTGCACTATACATGGCTACTTGTTGGTCTTGTTGTTATGAGTCAAGATTTGCACCAGATAAATGTTAATCCATGCAAAAGATGACAATTTTCTGCCTCACAGTGGTCAATGCTTACATGTCCTGATAATTTTTTTATTGTCTGACAAGTGATTCCAGCAAGACAATCAAATAGTCCAAACTGGATTATTCCTTTCGAATGAATGCAAAAAAAACTCCATTTTCAATTTTCAGACAGCATAGCACTCAAGTTACATCTTCTATCTGCACTCACTGCAAATGGCAGAGGGAACCCTGAGGTTGTAGACAGCTTTCTGGGATTCAATAATAAAAAATTATATGGCTACATTTTTGCAGTGGCAATCTGGAAACTGATTTCATTGAAATGAACAATCCAGTTCCTAAAAAGAACAAATGTTTAGTCTATGGAGGCATCTAAAGACAGCACAAGGCATCATGAATCATTAAAGTGCTCAGTAATCAAAATGCATTATGGCAGCAGAGAGGATTAAGATCAGCTTTGCAGGAGCCACAAGCCAACAGCAGAGAGGGAGAATTCTTCTGTGGATTGAATTACATACCCGATGCTTTTCCCTGAAGCTATCCCTGAGATGTGGCTTCTTTGTGAGCGACATTGCTGTGATTTTGGAAAGACTCTCATCCAACCGGGGTCCATCCTTTTCGTGGGACCTCACTGCCTGTTCATAATTTGGAGGGGAACCTGAAATGAGGAACATCTCCATTACATCTTCACCTCATTACTAAAGAAAAATATGACAGACAAGAAACAAACCATTCTTAGATATGGATTCAGAGTCATCAATGCTCTCTTCATCACGACTATCGTTATCTCCAGTTTGTGCAGTCACAAGTTGATAATAGAGACCCTTTTCATCCATCAAGGAGTCATGCACTCCCTCCTCAACTATCACTCCTTTGTCAAACACAAAGATTCTGTCAGCCGATCGGATGGTGGACAGACGATGAGCCACAATGAGAGTTGTCCTTCCTCTGCCAGCCTGTAACATTTGATTTGATTCAGAAATGCACTGGAAGAGACTGACAAGGATTTCCAAAGGGATACATACGGCATCTAGAGCCCTCTGAACGACGGCCTCTGATTCCGTGTCCAAAGCAGATGTGGCTTCATCAAGGAGAAGTATCCTGGGATTGCGGACAAGGGCCCGAGCGATGGCAATTCGTTGCTTCTGTCCTCCACTCATCTGAGCTCCACGCTCTCCAACCATTGTCTTATATTTCTACATATATAAAGATGCATTTCAGTAGGCCTAATAATTAAATTCTAAAAATGCATCCATCACAACAAAAAATATTTTAAATATTGAACACCATCTCGCCTCCAAGGCATAGGAATTCCACTAGGAACTATAATTTTCTGGCAATATGTTACACTATTAAGGCATGCAGTAGAGTCACTTCCACTGAATGAGTTTAAAATGAGGTCTATAGGTCCCTACCCATCATTGTCTATAAATAACCAAAACTCAAATGAAGACATGAATCTACTTCTGTTTCCTTTTAATACTGGAATACCAAGTAGAGGCTGAGCACCAACAGGACGCTGTCAAACTTTCAGCAAGAAATACCAATATTAAAAAGACATGACCACCTTTGGAAGCTTCATGATAAAGTTGTGAGCATTGGCAGCTTTGGCAGCTTCCTCAATCTCTGCTTGTGTGACTCCATCCCGGCCATAGGCAATGTTTTCCGCAATGGTCGTAGAGAAGAGAACGGGTTCCTGACCCACAATACCAATGCGATCTCTTAGCCAGCCCACATTCAGGTCTCGTACCTTGTGATCGTCTATATAAACCTGAGAGGGAATTGGATACCATGAACATTCTCTCCACCTGTAAACTATAATCACATGCTATCATAACTGGTACTCACTTCTCCAGACAATATATCATAAAACCGCTGCAGAAGCTGAATGCAGGTGGACTTCCCACAGCCAGAGCTCCCAACAAGTGCCACTCTCATCCCGGGTTCTATGCTCATGTTCAGGCCTTGAAGAATCTGATGAAATAAAAAAAGAATAGAGATAACATTAAAAAATGCCATGTTCTCATAGTACAATGAGATTTTCCTGAGCTTCAGCTTCCTTTTCCCTCCCATTCCCAATTCCCTCCAATATGCACTACTGATTTTATCATTAGAGGTGGCAGGAAGAAACAAAGCACAGAGAAACCCCTCAAGCACTAAACCAGCAACTTGGCACTTGAGCCTCCTGTCCTTGTTTGTTAAACTAATTGTAAGCATTTGACACCTGAACCAACCTAAACTTTTATTTGTCCACATTAGATCAAGGAGATAAATCTGTGAAGTTTCACAGCAAAACTTTTCCATAGTATCTTGAGAATTTTTTTTAGCAATGAATCCTACAGAAAAACCACATCTACCAATCATTATAACATTTTTCTGATTTTAACTCTTTATTTTTGGGTTACAATACTTGATGTTAATGGCTAAGAGATTTTATGGAGCATATTTACTAACTCCCAAACTTATCTGTAAAGGTGAAAAAAATACTTTGATTTCAGTCTGACAAAGCATGGGAAGAAAAATGAACAGATTGGGATGCAACACCCTCTCAATGAGATTACCTTGACATCAGGCCGTGATGGGTAGTTGAAGACAACATCCTTGAATTGAACACGGCCCTGAAGGGTATCGGGCTTCCTCCCATGATGGGAACTGCTGTCAATAGGTGGAATCCGGTCGATGATCTCATAAAGGGTTCCTGCCACTCCTTTTGCAACAGCAAATGCTTCAATGTATGGACTCGCCTGACCCACATTCATGGCACCCATCAGCACGCTGAAGAACACCTATCAGATCAACAGAATTAAAAACGAGAACCTTGGATTACTCGTACAATCCTGTTTTTTGAATGAAGGCTTTTGAAGATAATCCTTTCATATAACACCTCATAAATTTTCTCATATCATATCTTATCCTACCCTGACATCCATCCAGTCAATAATTGACAGAAACTACAGAGTAACTCACTATGATAAGGACCCCAGCATCGTAATCTCCATTTCCACCCAATTCTGGCCTGGATTCCAAGATTAGCTTGGGTCCATACCAAAAGGCAAGGGAATACGAGGCAAAGATCATGAACCATGCAACACCCCCTCCAAGTCCTACAACCATTCCTCGTCTCACTCCCATCTTCTGGGCGGCAAACAGGTTTTTCTCGTATCTGCAAGCAACCAAACCCACAAACTAAATGTCCAAAAACCTTGGCTCAAACAGCCAGCCTATTGCATCAGATGCAACATAAGGAACTAATTTGATTCAAGATGACTTCTTTATCCCTAATAGGAATGTTCTGCTTAAGCTAATATTTAAAAAATCATCTCTAGCCTACCTTTCAACTTCTTTGTTTTGTCCTCCAAAGGAAATAACAGTGCGAATCGATGACAAGACCTCTTCAGCAACAGCACCTGCTTTCCCATAGCACTTGGCCTCTTTCTCAGCAACAGATGATTGAATCTAAAGCAGTACAAAAGATATGGGTCCTAGAGACAGAACTGCCATAACACTTGAGACAAGCAATAAGGCAAATCCATTTTAAGAACAGCAACATTTGCAACTGGGGAACCAATAAAATTTCCCAGCACGCATATCAGAGCTGGATGACAAATTAAACTGATTGAATCTTTATACATAATAATCTCTGGTTATTCTGGTCTACTGCATGGGGGCAAAATGGAACATTAATACTCTGCCAAATGAAAAATCTACAAAGTAAATGTTTGGATTTTCACTCAGTGTCAATTTCAAACTGATTTAGCTCCAAGGATCAAAGAATGCATTACTTTTCAATGGCAATTTTATTTTATTCATTTCTCTACTTGATACTGGAAGTGATGATGCTGAAAAACATTACTTATTCCCCCAAAAGCATTACTCTTCAGCTGAAAGTGCAATGAAACAATTTACTACATAGGGAAGTATATCAGGTTGAATTACTTCATTGAAAGATGGTTGAAAAATGAAAAGTACAGGGTGTCCGAAAATTTATCACCTCATTTGTTTTGCTGATAACTTTTTTATTTTTTATTTTTTTTTATTTTTTCTTTCAGATTATTGAAGATCAGCCCAAAAAGTTTTAAAATGAATCGCTACACTCCTCAACGGCGTGCCGCAATAGTACTGATTTATGCCAGAAACAATGCATCAATTGTCGCAAAACAACGAGGATTTAGAAGGCAATTCGCTCAACAACATGCGCCTACTACTCAGACCATTCAGCGGTTAGTGGCTCGATTTGAGCAGTCGGGAACCACTGGTGATCGGAGGCATACAGGGAGACCCTGAACAAGTTGGTCCTTGGAAAACATTGCGCTTGTTAATGAAAGTGTGCAAGAAGTTCCAGAAGCATCCTTAAGAAGACGTTCCGGACAGGTGGGTATCCCAAGATCATCCCTGCACACAATAATGCACACCGATTTGAGTCTGTTCCCTTACAAGATACAGATGGTTCAAGAACTATTGCCAGCTGATACTCAACCACATCTTACTTACTCTGAAGCGCTATTATTAAATCTTGATGCTGAAATTATCAATTTTTCTTCAAAATTATTGATGTCGGACGAAGCTCACTTTGAGCTAAATGGTTCGGTCAATAAACAAAACTGCGGGTTCTGGGGAAATGCAAACCCTAGGGCAATTCATTTGAGTTCATTGCACCCACGTAAGGTAACAGTTTGGTGTGGGGTGACGTCCCAAAACGTCCTAGGGCCATATTTCTTCGAAGATGAGCTTGGAAATGCAGTTACAGTTAATGGTGACCGCTATAGAGTAATGATACAGGAAACCCACGTAAGGTAGCAGTTTGGTGTGGGGTGACGTCCCAAAACGTCCTAGGGCCATATTTCTTCGAAGATGAGCTTGGAAATGCAGTTACAGTTAATGGTGACCGCTATAGAGTAATGATACAGGATTTTTTGGTACCCGAGCTGGATAGGCTAGCCCTGGAGGACATGTGGTTCGAACAGGATGGTGCCACAGCACACACAGCTCGCATGACATTGGACTTATTGAGGGAAATTTTCCCGAACCGCGGAATCTCGAAATATGGAGATTTAAATTGGAAAGCGCGTTCACCGGATTTGACGGCCCCGGACTTTTTTATGGGGTTATCTCAAAGCAAAAGTGTTCATCAACAAACCAGTAACTCTGCAAGAACTCAAGCAAAACATTCCAGCCGAAATAGCCGCTATACCACAAGAAAATCTGGGATCTCAGTACCTCGTACGGCATCTTTCCCGAGCTTAGACAGTCGAGACATTGCCTCCTGTGAACAATCTACAATAGAAATCTTGAACTTCTTGAAAAACTTATTGAATTAAACTAATATTTGTCGTTCACAGTTTGTGTTTTTTTACTATCAGTTGAAAAGTTACAAGCAAAACAAATGAGGTGATGAATTTTCGGACACCCTGTAGATATAGATACAAATAGATACAGCACGCCTCCAACACTTCTCTTGGCAGATCGAGAAAGAACCTCTGTTGAGCCGCTGTCACGATGAGCTAGAAACTTCAATTGGAGGAGAATCAAAGGTAGGAAGGATGTGACAGATACGAACCAGCCTATCTGGGTCTCACCCGCTTTCACTGACGTGATTTTCGTCCTTCGAGCCTGCACCATCCAACGAAACTTCCGTTTATAATTTGGGAAGTCTTGTACGTAATGAACCCCGGCTGCTTTCTGAATATAAACAGCATGTATTGTCCCTGGCAGAGAGAAGTGATTGTCATTGAATTTCCTCCCAGGAAAAACAAATTGATTTAATCTCATATTTCAAAAGTAGGTAATGTTAAAATTACACGATTCAGGTACAAAATGCAGACATTCGGAATTTGGCTAATTACAGACCTCTCGCAACGAGATGTCCTCTTGCCCTTCCCAGTGCTCTTGAGATGGTTCACCTTATTACCATTATGTATTAATCATGATTTTTCCATTTTTCGCCAACGTGTCTCGAAGTGTTCTGGTGCCGATTTTGAAACTGCCATGATCGGGAAAACTTTGAAAAAAAGTCATAATCAGTCTCCACTTGGTGTATTCTTTCCGTGATGGCTGAAAAAGCGAATGGAGGGGGGGCAACCGGACAATTAACCGGACAAGTGAAATCCTAGGATTCATGAGCGAATATACGGCCGTCTTAGCTCCTAGGACACGAACGTCCATCTGGATCCATGCGCAGGATCGTTATGAACCGTGTATATAGCTGCATTCAACATAAATCGAATGAATGTAAATTGCCACATGTTTACAGCGCCGCTTCCAAGAACATGTTACTCTACAACTGCGGATTTTATTTAGGGAAGGAAAGAAAAACTTTGGGTAAGATTTTCCGGGTTCGCCCGTAATGTCCTTTTTTTCCGATTT